TTATATTATACATTATATATTACTATTATATATATATATATATATATTATTATTTTTAGTAGATAAGTGTGAATGTGAGGGTATTTTGAAATACCCAAAATACCCTCACCTTGACACTTATGTTCAACCCTCTCCTTTTTTTGGGTGCCATGTGTCAAAAGAAGAGTGAATTTTATTCACTCTTCTTATATAGTAATATATACACACGCAGGAACTTTAGTGAATCATACTATTTTTTTTAGTAGTCTCTTTTTTTTAAATCGAAAATGTTTCTCTCACCTAAAAGGCTATAACCAATAATGAGAAACTAGAGTTTTCTAATATGTGCTGGTGAGATTTAGTTTATTAATTAAAAACATGTGATAACTTTGAAAGCTAGCAAAAGCATAAAACATTTGCCAATCATATCATGACACACTTATTTTAAGTCTAAGGAAGATATAGTTTGGTCATATTTCCACCACAAATGATTTCTTCCAACCATAGAATTTTTGACTGATCAGTCACTAACAACCAACAGCAATCAGCCCACCATCTTTTAAACAAATTGTGTATTTTTTTTACTCTCATCTTCCAAAATTATTACGTATTTTTTAAACGGTAATGTCCGGACCATCTTATAAGTACCTCAAACTTTTAAATAATAATAAAAAATTACTTAATATTTTTTGTTATTGTTAGGATTTTTGTATATTCTAAAGATTATTTCACCAATTCATGACATCTTTAGTTCAAAAGATTTTTCTTCTTTCTTTTAGCGCGGGGTGGAGGTTGAGGGGAGCAAGAACACCTCTATCAGAATTATCCCTTTCACAGTTCATGCAACAGGCAATCAGCACAATGTTCATAGGTAGACAGAATCTGCAAGCATATTTCAATAAACAAATATCTAGTTGTATAAGCTTTTTTACTGTTTCTTTTCTGGTACCATACATCATAGTTGTAATCTCTGAAGACAAACTTCTTATGTATAACATAACAATAACAAGAAATGGGAAGAAAAAGGGGGAAATGAAGGAAGTGTGTAACAATTGAATTACATATACAACCATTTTCTTTAAACCCGAAAAGGAAGTTGCATGATTTGGACCTAATTAGCGTTGGGCAAGGCATGCAGCTGTTTCTGATGAGCCCGAGCAGTGAAACCAGCATACCAAGCGACTCTCATGAGCTGCATGCCAAGAATGAGAACCCACCAGCAGACTAGCCCCCTAATGGTATGCAGCATCCATGATGGTGCATTGAGTTCTGCACTGAGCTTTAACCCCCTCATTAGTTGTAAAACACGATACGCTTCATAGACTACTGGTGTCACCAACCATACTGGTGACTTCCAATGCCATGTCAGCATCTCTGTGAGTATCTGTATAGATAGAAGCAGAAGATAGGGACCCAAGAGCACAGCATAAGAAATGAAAGGAAGTTGAGGCTGAAGGAAACTGTTCTGAGAAGCAAAATATACTATCAAGGGAATGACTAGACCCATAACATTTGCGACCATGTTCCATAACTGATAACCGAAAGGCGGCTTGCTGGTGGAATCTTGACTGCTGTCTGGTGAACGAGCACAAGAATCGGCTAACAGGAGAAATAGGTTTGCTCCAAGATTGTAAATACAA